GGGATCATGGGGTCGGTTCTACTTCTATGTTGCAAACCAAATAATTGGTCCATCTTTTAGCATTGTTTAATCGTTTTATTATCGTTTTTACTTTATTTTACACATATACAGCCAAGAAATCCCCCTCCAGACACGTTCTTGCTGCGTCTGGAAATTGCATAAGCAACAGGAATGCCGGATCAAACTTCTATCAGATGTAGTGAGCCGTAGCCACTCATCAGATTACTTCTTCAGATCTTGGAGTATAATGCCACATTCTGATCAGAGATGTAGTTACATGGACTCATCAAGAACCGCTAGTGGTCATTGTGTAATATGAGAAGTCTGTCCGACTTGAATCCCTGTTGTTATGCAAATCTGTATTATTACCCTTATGACAGTTCATACTTGGTCTTTGTCTTCAAAACTGCGTATGTCCTGCAGGCGAGTTTCCTTGCGACCTTGATAATGGCCTTATGGGGTTTCATGATCTGACAACAGCTTGAGTAATATGCCCCCAACTGGTAGTCTCTATAGATTGCCACCCAGCTTGCCTCTACGATGAGCGGACCGAGGTGCTTATTGCCTCTGTTTGTTTTCTCTCCGCTGACCTTCTTCTCGCCAGAGTCATGGCAGGTAGGAATAAGTCCGAGCATAGACACAAAGCTTCGCTCGTTGGGGAATCGCATGATGTCGTTATCCAGTTCCGTCAGCATCGACATGGAGGTTATAAGGCCAAACCCTGGCACAGTGAAAAGAAGGTCGTAATTCTCCTTGTACCTGTCTGTGGTGCTCAAACGACGAATCTCGCGAGTAACCTTAAGGATGGCCTTCCTCGTATTCTCCACTTGATCGCAGAGCAGCAATAGAGAAAGTTTCTGCTCAGACAGCAGTTCCACTTCCTCGCGGAGCCATTTCATGAAGTTGCGAGACCAATGCGTCTTGCTGTTACGGAAACGCTCAGGATATGTCACCCCCTGAGTATACAGCAGATGTTTCGTTCTGTTCTTCTGACGGGAGAGATCCATGATGAAACGCTGACGCAGGCGAATCAGATTTGTGTCGTCCATGTACCGCTTGTCCTTGATGTAGATGCCTGTCAGCTCATTACGCTTCAGCGCCCAGGCAATCTTCTCTGAATCCACGGCATCCGTCTTCATCGTCTTTTCCTTACCTGTCGTAGGAATATCGGCAGCGTTAACCACGATATTCTCTATGCCCTGCTCCGTCAGAGCATAGTGAGCAGAGAAACCGCAGAAGCCTGCCTCATAGGCTGATTTGAAGTGAGCTTCAGGGAATTTCTTGTTCAATCTGTCAAAGAGCTCCTTTGCATCTGCATGCTGAGCGAATGAATACTTGTAGCCGCTCTCCGTGAGCGTTGTCACATGCCACGTTTTTAAATGTACGTCAATTCCGACGTAAATGTTTTGTCCTTTGAAGGAAACTTTGTACTTTTGCATACTGGTACGGTTTTAAATTGTGAATGTATTTTGTTTTTTGCACTTACAAAGATACAAACCAATTATTATCGTACCAACTTTTTCCTTCAATTTTATACGTTCTACCGCGAAGCCCTTTCATCGTTCTGATGGCAAGGAGGGTTCTCGGAGCGTAGCGGAGAGGTTCGTCGTTGTCAGCAGAACGAAACCTTCTCTAGCGCATGTTCAGCGCTCAGTGGTAACTTTTCCAGTTGCAAACATAGTAACTGATCACTTATCAAGGCAAATAATATGAGAATTAAGACAGTAATGAATCATAATCAAAATGACGGACTCCTGAAAATGATCAAAAGAACCGACCCCATGATCTTTGTAGAAGAAACGGAGGATGGCAAGCAGATTGCAACCATTTGCAGTATAACAGAATTGTCGAATCATTATAAAAAGAAATAGGAGGACAGAAATATGATTACAGTGAAAGGTAAAGACCCAATGATGATAGCCAACAATTTGAAGCCTTACAAGCCGACGCATCCGGGCGAGGTATTGAAGGACGAACTGGAGTTTCGCGGCATTTCCCAGCGTGGACTGGCGAAGAAAATGGGTATCTCGTATTCAGCATTAAACGAGGTGCTGAACGGCAAGCGCGCGCTCAACCCTGAGTTGGCAATGATGATGGAGGCTGCATTGGATGTTGATGCTGCTCCGCTTTTGGCCATGCAGAACGAATATGACATGCTGATGGCCGAGCGCAACGAGTCGTTTATGGAGAAAATAAAACATATTCGCCGTATCGCTGCTGTTTTTTAAGAACATAGTCAACTATCACAGCCCCACCTTCCACTACGGGCGGTGGGGTATTTTTATGCAAAACAGAGTCACATATTTTAAACATTCAAAAACAATGAAAGCAAAAAAACAATTTGAGTCGCAGCTACGACTGTATGAAGTACTGCAGAAAAAAACGTAACTAACCGCGAACTTGCCCGCCGTTTAGGCATCTCTGAACAGCAGGTGGGCAAGTATGTCAACCACCGCATTTATCCATCTTTTACCCGTCTGCATGAGATAGCAAATAAGCTGGATTTACGGGTAAAGGACTTGTTCGAGCCAGTCGAACGCATAGGAGAATTAATGTTGCAAAGCGTTTTTTGAGCCTCTTCAATAAGGGGAAATAGCAAAATCTTGGAAAGAATCTTGGAAATTTTGTTCCATCATGGAAAGAATCTTGGAAATGTGATTTTCGGCTATTTTGCAGTTCAAAGAGTGTGCGTAATTTCGCAGACGGAAAAGCTACCTAGCTCAATCCAAAAAACAAAATTTAGTAATCCCCAAAAAAGAAAGATTATGAACAAGAAGAAACGTAAACAAGTATCAGCGTCGAAGGAGTTGTCTTCGACGTTGATGCAAATGGCCAATTGGCTGAGGTACAAGAAGGGTTGGAATCCTGACGCTGCTACGCGGCAGGCTTGGCTGTGCCAGCACGCGCTGGAGGCGCTGGGCGAAGGCGTAGTGATGTTGCAGTACTTGAAGTTGGACGGCACGCGACGCATTGCCCACGGCACGTTGTGCAAGGGCATTTCCGAGGCGTACGACCGCTATGAGTACAAGGGCAAGAGTGGCGTGAAAAAGACCGAAGAGGGGTATTTCACTTTCTACTATTGGGACTTGGACGAAGAGGGCTTCCGCTCGTTCAATGCTGCAAGACTGGATGATTATCTGGTCACACAGAAAGAAGATTTTAATAAGGTCACACAGATTGCAACGCCACACTTCGATCTTCAGTCGAAGAAATCACAGAAAGCACAGAAAGATTTATGAATCGAACTAATTTATCGGATGGCGAGCTGACCGCACTGGCGGCTCGCATCCA